TAAATTAGATTTATTTATTGGGTTGTATTTCTCTGTAGATGCATCATGTGCCCTGTTGGGATTTAGAGAAGTGTGGAGGAGGTGACAAGTCTTACATTCCAGGCCCGAGAGTTTGCAAAATGTAAAGAAAGGTGCTAAAAAATGGCAAAACCCCAAGTAAAGCTCATACTTTCATATTTTTCTGGAAGGAAGTTTCTTCAAGTGGAAACAGTAACCACTGATGAGCTGCCACGTGCCAAAGCACAGGCTCTATAGAATCACCATTTTTGCAAATCTGCTGGGAAATATGGAATTTGATTATGGAGCTTTCACATGTTAGATAACAATTCTTCAGTCACCATTTATTGCCAACCTTCCCATCACCAACAGGAGCTGTAATTTGCTTTAGCAATGCAGAGAGGCAGAGACAGAGTGAGAAAAGAAATTACTATTAGTGCCACCACCAAGAACAGACTTAGGAATTCTGCTGAAAGAATTGATTCTGAAAGAGAATCTCTACAGACATGTATTTGCTAATTTCCCTTTCAAGAGCCAGTTGCCAGTCTTACAAACTTAAGTGATTTTAATACCCATTTCTTTCAAGAACCTTCAGTGTTTTTTCCCCTCAATGAGCAATGACCATGTGTCTAAAATACAGTTAACCAGTTCTTTTAGTGTCAGAACTGGAAGCAAAAATGCCCTTCGTCAGTTATTAAAACCTTCCAAATCTAAACAGTCCAAAGTACTCTTGAGGCAACGTTTTAGAGATGCTTTTGACTCCTGAGTGACAGCCAAACACTCAGTTTAGAACATGACTGTGCAGAGAAAGTTTCAAATAAAGACCAACGTATCCCAAACAGGAATTTTCACATGTTCCACTTGTGCAAAGAGCACTTAAAGGACACTGAGGAAACTTAGTCTTGACACCTCCAAAGTGTTCTGTGCCCACTTTTATATGCTTTATACAGCTGGTCTGCTCAGACCAACTGTTAGACAAATAAAATCAAAGTTATTCATGAGGATCACAGCTATTTGTCCTAACTGAGTTACACCCATTCTGCACATGTATTTTTTTTGCTGCAGAATTTTATCCTTACATTAAATTAGTAACTCTCTGGTTTCCTCGGCATCCTGGAGTCACTCCCAAGCTGGATGCCAGAATATGTGGCATCATTACCAAACCTCTTCCTTTCCTTAGAGCCTTGTTGTTGGGAAGGACTAAGCTTCTTCAGAAGAGCTCTACATTACAACAAAGTGACACGAAGAAGTTCAACACACACTATAAAGTCTGACCAAGTTAAAACTAACTGAAAAGAAAGTTTTGAAGATGAAACCTGTACACATGAACTTGACTGCAAATGGCTTGGAGTGAAACATATAAGAGCATTAAACAGATAGGACAAATCCCTAAAAAATAGTTCAAGCAAACTAAGCTACCAGTTCTTCATGGAGCTTAACTGAGATGCAGGAATGAGGTTCTGTAAATATTAGTTCCTAGTGCCCTAGTTACTACATCAGATCAGACACAGGCTCTCAACTTAACTTTTGTCACAAGGTAGGGGCCTGACCCATTATCCATCAGACAGCTGGAACGACTCAAATGCTTTTTTAAGAGCATCTTTGTCATTTAGGTCAACTTCTCCATTAAATGCTTAAAAGTGTGTTGAAGGATATATTCTCAACAACGAACCCTAATGCTTTGGGGAACCCTTTACTATGCTTACAATAATGCTCATTTAAATGCTTTTCCTTTGAATCCAACACCAGCAAGAAAGCTGAAATATTGTTCTAAGGTAAACAAAGTCCTACACTCAAGGTACACTGGGGTACAGCCTGACAGCTTTTCCCTGTGTAAATCTTAGGCAAAGGGAAGCCCAACAAGAATACTAGGGTACTTTAGACCTAGCTATAGAATATTATATATATATTTATACAATATCCTTAGTATTATATCGAATATATATACACCTCAGTAAGGGTACAGCTGTGGTGGGGATAAATCAACTTCGTCCTTTATCCCCCATTGATACTACTGATAATATTGGGAGCTGCACATGCTCAGACACAGAAGAACTTGAGTGTAAAGTTTATGTCAAACAGAAAAGCAAAACCAAATAAACCTAAGAAATTAATCTCCTTATGCATAAAGGCTGCAAAAGATGAGTAAATGCACGTGTTAAAAAGGCACCAGTAGTGATATGTCCACATTTAGAAACAGCACTATCATTATTTTTCATAGATTACATTGTATTCATTTCAGTCAATGGTCTAACTAGCCTAACTACAGAAATTAATATCTGTAGTCTTATAACTAAGATGTAGGGTTCACTGAGCCAATGTTTCACTGATGAACTCAAGGATTTGTCTGAAAATTCACACAGGGATTTGGCTTAAAACACTTTTTTGCAGCTCAGTTAAAAGTTTGCACCTTTATTTTCAGTCAGAAACTAATAAAACAAAAAGACACTTTTAGAACAACTTTTTTCTGCACTTCATTTCAATATTTTTCCTCTTTCCTATTTCTGACCCTGTCAATGAATTTTTGAAAATCTTAAACACTGACTTAGCTGGAACTGAGACCTGACTGTGCATGAGCAGACAATGCCGTCACTTACATAAGTGTATTGGCAATCAAAACAGTCTACATTGACAACTCCTTCCCATTTTGAGCTCCCCTTTTCCGTTCCCCAGAAACCCTCTGAGCTCCTTCACAACTGGGGCATGGGGAAGGGCAGAAGCAAGAAGACTGAGCCCTTCAACAGGGCATCAGTGCTGACATTTCCATGTGGTCATACTGGGAAGTTCTGCATATAATCAGAGAGGAGTAGATTTTTATTTACTGAGTGACTTTTAGACAAAGACTGAATAAAGCTATAGTTCATGGGCCGCATGTAGCTCACAAAATAGTTTGAATCCCCTAATTTAAAATTACTTTTGAAGAAAGTTTATGTATAGACACAGGTATTTTTACATATATATTTTATATATGATAGTATGACTGAAAATCATTATACGCAAATGCATATGTATACACATTTGTGTATATATATACACACAACCACATACACTAATATATAGATGATCTTACTGTAATTTAAAAATCAGGTTCTTCTTCCAATTCCCTTTTGTCTTCTCACAAAAATACTTAATTCTTACAGCATCCTATGAAGCAGTTTCATGGCACAACATGCTATAGAGAGCAGTGGGAAAGAATCAGCAGCCATAGTCAGGGGTGCCAAATTTCAGAAGCCAACATTCCCAAAAGAGTCTACTGGGCAGCTTTATCTTCAAATATCCATGAGACACCTTTAGGGACTCCTTATGTGCAGAGGGTGTAAAGCTCAGCTTTGAAACAAAAGCCAACAGTCAGATCCCTCCCTTCTGCAGCATTTCAGCTGGCACCTCCAGAAATACAGCCATGGATAAAACCAGTGAAATTATAGGACAGTTCACATATGACTGATCTATTGCCCTCTGAAACAAGCACGAACCTTTATCAGAAGTCTTAAAAGCCTGAGAGATGCTGCTTTGTGCAAAGATTATGAACCTGAGCAGGAGTGGGGATTTTTGAGTGTGTAATTTGAGCTGGCTAGGCATGGTGAGGCTGCTTGTAGGAGTACATTCCCACAAGGAATCTCTGAGAATACACCTACCAACATCCTTATAGTAAAAGTGGCTGTGCAAAAGGAGTATTTCCCCATCAAAGCCTGATGCTCTATAAAACAAACCAAGTAAAATCTAGATGTTAGTACGTTAGTACAGAACTTCTGTTATTTCAAATCTTAAACTTTACTATAGTTATTTTTTTAATCTGACATCTTCCTGATATCCACTAATATAGGGCCTTACAAACAAGGGCACTGCAATTACTCAGTCCACTTATATGCCACATTCTTCAGGACATTCATCTGGCCTAATTTATTCTCAGCCACTGAAGTTGTGCAGTTCTGCTTTGGGTTGTTTTTTTTCAATCCTACCTAACACAGACTTTCTCTGTTTCCAAAAGTTGCCTTTGATTCCTCTGTAAAGTTTTACTAATTAGTTCAGACTTCAACTTGTCAAAACCTTAGGTGGGTGTAGCAAATTTGCACTAATAAAATATTCATTTCTCAGATCCAAAAATAACTTAGGTCCTGTCTATGAGGAAATGCTCTCAAGTGATGGAGCTGAATCTACTTAAGAGTTGCACTGAGCAGTTCCTCAAGCTGCAGCATTCTGCTCTGACTTGCCTCATCTGCTACACCTCATCCCTGATTCATAGCTTGCATGTAACACAGAGTAGCGTAGGAGTGCCAGTGCAGAGTAGGAGTGACTTGGCCACTCAGGCCTGAGCTGATTTACTGGTAGTAAATCTTTACTCTTAAAAGAAAAACCACAAATCTGCTGTTTTCTTGCAGAAGTACTGAACTAGTTCCCTCTCTATCTATATCGTTTACCTTCTGATCGGATGTACCACTGTGTCACCTTTGTCCTCCCAAACCCTGAGAGAAGCACTGACAGCACCAGTTTATTGCACTAGTGAGGTACAATAAGCCAACAGTGAGCTCTGAAGTCTTAGAATCAGCTTACACCAGCAATTCATCCAGGAATGTCCAAAAAAGCCTTATGGTCAATTGCATATCAAGCATGTTCCTAATCACGAACTAATCTATGAACTATAAATGCCTCACGGAAAAGTTCCTTCGGTTATTAATAAAAAACCTGTTTGTCTGTTTAATCTTCTTGCTGAGGAAAAAGAGGATTTCACCTCGGAGCAGAAGTGGGTTTTATTCTACTAAAACCTATCCCAACCTTAGGAATGCTAAACCATCTGAGAGAGGAGAGGAAGAGCAGGTCTCACTCTGAATTTGTGCAGTTGAAGCCAATCACTCATCAATAACCAATTACCAGTTGACAGAAAGAAGAGACAGCACAAGGATTTCCAATCTGGAGAAATACATCCATTGATATGACCAAGCAATTGTCAATGCTTAGAATAATGATCATTCTGAGAATTCAGCTGAAGAAGTTTTGAGCTTTACCTGTCTTGTCTTTGCTGAGGTTTCAATGAAAGGAATTCCATAACTTCTTGCTAGATCCTGAGCTTGTTTTGTGTCTACTGTTCTGGAAGGCAAATCACATTTGTTTCCTACTAGCACCATTGGGACATCTTCAGAGTCTTTAACTCTCTTTATTTGTTCCCTAAAAAGAAAGAAAAAAGTCAGATTGTATTTAACAGGTATTAACAGTTTGTATTAACAAATTCCACCATCATTTTTTATGTTCATTTATTGCACAGACACTATTAGAAGCCACTAAAAATAATCCGACCAATCCTGTCACCATCAAGTTTATCACCTTACTAAAAAAATACAGAAAAAAATAAAAGGAGGTTTACATTTTGCAAACTGCTATAGATTTTGATGTCATTACACTAGTTTCATTTTTTGACTTGTGATTGGGACTAACCTTAGACTGATGCTACTAAAGTCACTCATCTTTGGTGGGATTTGCATTGCCTTCTAATAGAATATCCCAGGAAAATCCAGGATAATAGTGAGCTGCTAAGTTAAAAAAGATCTGGTATGGCAATCACCAGAGATTGGTTCTATTTCTGTATCAGTGCAATTGGCAAAGAAAGCATGAGCTGAAATTTTTAATGAAATATTTTTAAAAAAGAGAATGTAAGAAACTAACAACAGGTTGAAGCTCTGATTTTGTGTCTGCCCTTGTCAGGCATCAGGCCCCACACAGCTTACTCTTCTCACAACATTCCACAGGTATTTCCCCCTCCAGCCTGAAACAAAACTACCAATAGACTTCACTGTGTTTACTATTTCAATTGCTTCAGGTTTTCCATCTTAGCAAACAATTTTATCCAAGGAATGGGCAGAATTTACCTCTAGATAGGTCTTCTCTAGCGATACTAAGTCCCATTAGTTTACACCAGAAGAGCTTCCAGATACTTTGCCTGACTTGGGAATGAGGCAGATTTTCAGATTACCCAAAATTCCAGGTAACAAATGCACAAATAAGTTGCAATACTGTTATCCTGCAAAATTTTCCCTTAGATGCTATTTCATAGGAGACCATTGTAGTATCTAGTGGAAGAGGAAACATCATATCCACCTAAGATAAGAGCTGGTTGATTATCTTTCCATATACACACCTATAATGGTGAATATCTTCAAAAGACTTTGTATTGTTTATAGCAAACACACAGAGGAAGCCTTCCCCTGTCCTCATGTATTGGTCCCTCATTGCACTGTACTCTTCTTGACCTGCTGTATCAAGAATATCCAAGAGGCAGGTTTCTCCATCAATTACTACTTGCTTCCTGTATGAATCCTATAAAAGCCAGAAAAAATATACCTTAGTTAAACACAAACAAGTGAGAATTTAAACATCTGTAACTCTGGAGAGATTGGAATTATTTACTAGCAGTAAGTGACTGAAAACACTCAGACCTTATAAGCCAACTTTACAGTAGGAAAATAGTTTCCCATATTACCTGTATACATGTGGGAAGAACACTGAAAGGATAATTCTTGTCTGCATTCTGAATCTTCAGTGAGTAACAGCACATGTGTGAGTGTCTGGGACAGGAAATCTGCTTGTATGCCTGAGCAGGTGTGTATAATGATATTTGTTACTGAGTTATCAAAGTTGAGTTGATATATTTGAAGTTCAAGCTCTTTAGCTAACGGAGCCATATAAAGGCCCAATGAGCTGTTTGACAGAGATGTCAGATCAACTGATTTCCATGCAATCAAATCAAAGCTTTCAGGTCACTGATTCAAGTGGCTAAAACCTGAACAGTCCCAACAACTAGGTACTAATGTCTATTTCCATCTCTTTTTGGTCCTAGGCCTCTGTGAGTACATTTTCTAGCACAATGAACATAAGCATTACTTGCCCAATAACCTCTATAAACACCTCTGTATCTGAAGTAAAACCATGACAATAAGCTTTAAAAATACATCATTAAACACCCCCATGAATTATTCTAGCAAACATCACTTGTAACAAGTAACAGGTACAAACAAAATCCTGGTATTACCTTTCAGATTCCCTAGCTAGACATGAACACAATATTGCTGCTGCTCTTCTTAGCACTGTACTGGAGTGAAGCTAAGCTACTGGGAAGGGAATTCAACAATTAAAATTGCAATCCTGGCCAACTTCAAGTTGAATTCAGAACGACTTTCCTTCCTTTGCACCCAGTTTGAGGCACTGAACTCCTACTCCTGGGCACTTTCTATCCATCTATATGTACCAAAGTCTCTCCTCTTTCCTGTTGCTCATACTAAGAGAAGATAATTGTATAGAATGAGTATCTTAAACTAAACAAACTCCATAATCTCACATTTATCTTGAGCCTGGATGACATTTAACAGTATCAAGTAAAAACAATATTGACTGTTTACCTTCAAGATAAAAGCTTGCCTCCAACATGGTTTTGGAACCATTTATTTCACAGAAGTACAAATTCAGTGCTCAAGTAAGAAGTAGGTAACTTACTTTAGAAACATATACACCATGTTTAAATACACAGCTGAGACAAATACATAAGCTCCAACATGTTTTAAAATAAATGTTCTATCTCACTGCTTAAAGTGGGAAAAAAAAACCCAACCAAAAAACCCCATCCCATAGGATGCACCTTCATCCCAATTCCCTTCAATTCAACTGCAGATCCCCCATGTCCTATATGACACCTTTATCACAGTTCACAGTGAAGCACTAGCCAAACTTTATTATTACACTGAGGCCTATTTACAAAGTTTTCCCCTTCTCTTTTTGCAATTTGACTGCTGGTTTTAAAATATGAAAAGCAGTTCTTGAAAAGCCTGTACTGTTCCCTTCCATCTCAGCACTTCAAAGGGAAAGAAATTCCCCTCAACTGAGCTCTAAACAAAAGCTTTAAGTAATTTTCATCAAAGAAAATAATTTTTAAGAGAAGAGAAAATCACTTTTAAGACCTGCTGGCTTTACCATGCTCACCACGTCAGCAGGAGCAGCAAAGATGCACCAGTATAAAGCACAGCACAGGTACAAAAATGACTACTTTGAGATGTTGTTTTGCCACTTCTGGGGAGAAAACTCTTGACACTACCTAGAAAGGGGATTTGAGGCAAAAGGAAGAAGAAAGATGTGGGAGAGAAAATTGAAGCTTATGTTTGCTTCCAGACTACTGAAATAATCAACACTTTATTTTTGCCATTTATTCCTTTCCCCTTGCAAAACATCAAACCTGAAATCAGATTTGTCACTGCAGGGAAGAGAACCTGAATCAGCACACTAAAAGCTCAGGGGTGCAGGGACCATCACCCCATCCTGGTAAACACCAGTGCAAACACAGCCCAGGGAAAAGTGGTACCACACCATAAAAACCATCAAATCCTGCACAACAGAATGTAGGATGTAACAAAGAGTTGTGCCACTACAGGACTTGTGGCACTTGTGCTTCAAGCCCAATGGCCAGAGTCCTCTTTAACAACAAAACCCCCAATCTTTAACCTATAAATGTCACCATTTATAAAATCCAAGTGGATTCAGTGCACAGTTAATCTGCAGTGCTGAATACAGTGAAGAGTGAAGAGACACAGTGAAGAGACATCAGGTATAAGGCTATTAAGTAAAACCAAAATGCAAACTGGAAGTTAATTCCTAAGCAGTGCCCAACTCCAAATGGGAAATTCCAATTTTCTCCCCAATATACAGACTCATCATATCTATATTTTTTAATTTGATTAATCACTTAACCTGCTTTTACTGGCCTTTCACAAGCCATAAAACCTTTTTTGGGGGTTTTTAATTATCTTAAAGAAGTAATAATTCCATCTATTAAAGCAGTATTATGTTAAAGGAGCAATAATGTCATCTGTTAAAGGAGAATTATGTTAAAGGAGTAATAATTCCATCTGTTCACAAGCACTGATAAGAAAACGTGATATGAAATCTCAGCTCTATGCTACATATGGAATTTATACGGAATCATCACTGCTTAATCAATCCCATCCAAGCCAGCAACCACTGTTTTGTAAAAATGCATTACACCAGTGATTTAATGTTAAAATATCACAGCTACTAAGCCTAAGCTATTGCTAAATATTGGTGGGAGTTTCCCAAGTGCACAGGTCATTTAAGAACACGGACTTAAACATCAGTATTCCTCCATCAGCCAAGGGATTTTGCTAATCCAATTGGAAAACCTCTGACAAGCAACTAAGAAAGCTGTTCTTTCCCTGGGACCTTTACAAGATGATGTATATTCGGGGCTAAAAAGCTCTGAAGCTGCCAAAGAGATATAAAACTGAAATAAACAGAAGCTTATTCTCACAAGAGATCAGAAAGGAGACTGGACACGCAATGTTAATCGCGGCCAATAGAGGGCGCTGCTCGGTTACTGCACTTAAGAGTTTGACATCAATGAATTAAAACTTAATTTCATTAAATTAATTTATGAAACCCTTAAAATTGTTTGGCTATAAATCCTTGCTTGGCTATAAATCTGTGCTCAGACACCTACTTCAAACAAGGTATGAAACACAGAGAATCTACCTTTGGATAACTGTAGCCATCCAAACACTCATTTAATTCTTCCTCCTGCCCCACCAGCTCCGATATAAGCAAATAAAACACTCCAGGAGGCCATGAAAGTTGACATTTTCCAAGCAGGTTATTTGTTGAATCATAGTCTATCTCACCAGCAGCATGAACACTGTAAAGGCACCTGTGATTAAGTAACTAGTGTATTTTTCCTCTCCATATCATGTCTTCACAACATGAGGATTTTAGACATTTCATTCAGTTAATCACAGGAAGTATTTAGGATTATTCAATAGCTATGTAGTTAGGGAATCCACCATTGATAACAAACACTAAATTCCCTTCTCCATCTACCCCAAAATATTTAGCTTGGCTATTCAGCCTGGGGAGAGGAGGCTCAGGGGTGACTTTAGCACTGCTACTCCCTTACAGGAGGCTGTAGCCAGGTGGGAACAGGGCTCTGCTCCCAGGTAACCAGTGACAGGACAAGAGGACATAGTCTCAAGCTGCACCAGGGGAGGTTTAGGTTGGACATTAGGAAGAATTTTTTCACTAAAAGGGTGATTAGACACTGGAATGTACTGCCCAGGGAGGTGGTAGAATCAGCATCCCTGGAGATAACTTTAAGGAGAGACTGGACATGGCACTTAGTGCCATGGTCTAGCTGACAAGGTGGTGTCAGGTCATAGGTTGGAGTTGATGATCTCAGAGGCCTTTTCCAACCTTAATGATTCCATGATCTGCCAGGGAAAATGAATGTTTTGCTATATGTCAATGAAAGAAACAGAAGAGACAAACAACAGCAGTAACAATACTGAACCATCTTAGCTATTATTTACCAATCAAAGCAAATTCACCTTAATTTCCTCATACTGCATAAAAGCCACTCCACGGTTAATGTTCTTTGATCAGCCCCTGCCACCACACCTGCAGGTACACAGGAAGCACCACCACACAGCCCTTCCCAACTGAGTGGGATTCTGCCCAGGCATGGACTGAGGCATTAAAACCCCAGTCACAGCCCACTCTTGTTCTAACTGAATTATTGCCTACCTACCTGATTCCAGCACTGTGAGCACACACAAGGTGATTTAGATTTACCACATGAGTAAGAAGACAGTCTCCATCCACAAGCTCTCAGAATTTACATGATAAAAACAGTAACTAGTAGAGGAATACACACTAAATCTGGACCACACCACAGCCATCCTGAGCACTACTGACTTTGTGGCTGCCCCATCCCTGAAAATGTTCAAGGCCAAGCTGGATGTGGCTCTGAGCAACCTGATCTAGTGGAAGACGTCTCTGTCCATGGCACCACGTTGGAACTAGATGATCTTTAAGGTCCCTTCCAACCCAAACCATTCTGTGATTCTATGAATAAAAGTCAGTTCTGGGGGTTTAGGTTCATTCTCTAAGGAACTATATTTTCATTCTTTTATTTTACAATAAAATCTATATGTTATTCCTCAAAATACTCAGCTGGCTGGATAGCAAAATCCCTCAAGTGTTTTAGGAACATTGGCATTTAAGTTTCTGTGTTCCTAAATTGTTTTATGCAGTGACAATATTATAAGACAGAACCTCCACAGCACGTTTTGTAGGGCCTAAACACACTTCTAACCTAAGAGAAACCCAAATGATCAAGCACAGACCAACATCCTCCAAACTTCTTTTTGCAGGAAAAAGTAAAATCCCATTTCACTTGTTCCTCTCTGTAAGTTTTGTGGCTTTTAAAGAGTGTTGGATGGTTGTTGGTTTAAAGTTTCATCTCTCAGTAATTGAACGAGCTGCTCTACTACTGAAGTCAAACACTCCTGCCCATAGGTCTAGTGAGTCTTCTGCAAGCATGATGTCATTTCAGCCATGTAATAAAGTCAAGAAAACCCAAAGACACAGGAAGGTAAACTCAAGCCAACACATCTCTATTTGGGGCACGTTACCTCAGGTGTTCAATGAACACAGCTTTCTACCACCTCAGGGCACCAGCTCCTGTGTCTACCTGAGAATCACTGCCTAGTGATCACTACCTACTCCAAGGCTCCATTTTAAGCCTAGATTTAAACCCTCGTGATTCCTTCAAGCAAGGCTGCAAGTGCCTCATTTTACAAACATACAAATGAAGTCATAAGCTGCAGAGCTTCAGTGCTGGGAACATAAAAATCTTGGGTAAATTACAGTGTCATTTCTCCTTTTATAGAGACTGAGGTTATTAAATGCAATGATCCACAGGAGATTTCAGACAACACCAATATGTTTCTAATATTTAAAAGGCAGAGCTTACCTGCCCATTAAAAACCTTTAAAACATCACAACTTTGAAAGCTTGGGTACGATTTCAAATTCAAAGGAACTGTGCCATGTATTTCAGAGAATCCACTACAGCAGCTATCTTAGAACATTTTTTTTCTAGATACAGAAACACGCACTGGTGGGTATAAAAACAGAAATCAGGCTCCAATTTTTGCTTCAGTCACCATAACATTCCAGGACACATTTCCCAGTGTGTGGAACAGATCCTAGCGATAGGAGCTGAGAAAGACTAGTGCATACATTTCACAACTACAAATTTCCCTTCTTGATATCAAACAGGAAAGTCACATTTAAGAGGCTGCACAAAGTCACGAAGAGTTTTGCCAAGCATTTTCAAGCAAGTCTGGCAAACACTTTGTCATCAAATCCTAATCACATGCATCCAAACTGCCCAAGAAAACATGGAAATTAACAGCCATTAATACTTTTAATTGATCAAAACTTGGGTTTTTTTACTGCAGCTGCTGTTCCACAGCGATCTCTCCTCCAAGGCAGAGAATTATCTTTGAGCTCTTCTCACCACAAAGCCGCCTTCTTGTGCTAAGTGTCCACAAGCAAACAACCACCATTATTACTGATAATCTCTCCTCACAGAAAAGTACGAGATGAAAGCATTTACCTCTATTGTCGGATCATATTCATCCACAAAGTGGTTCTGGATTAGCTGTATTGTCAGGGCGCTCTTGCCTACACCACCAGCTCCGACCACAACAAGTTTATACTCTGTCATTTTTTAGCAGACCTGATGACAAAGAAACCAACATTAAGCAGAGCAGAGCTGGCACTACCGAGGATGTTCTCATTCAGGGTCACGTCCTCCACCACCACCGGACGGCAGCTCCCTCCCTGCAAGGCAAGACAAAAAGCGATGAGGGAACTCTGCTTCCCAAACACCACACACACAGCCAATTCGAGCGGTTACAAAAAGAAATAAGACAAGGATGCGCTAAAACCTGGAAATGCTCGAGGAGTATCTCAAGCAGGGAACCAATCCCTGCAGGGATGTAGCTCCCGCAGTCCCCACAGGGGAAC